CACACAACCACACCCCCCTACCCCACCTCCACTTACCACAAATCAGCACCCTATGGTCACGCGTTCCAAAACTGGCATAACCTGTCCCAAACATATCCTCAACCTCAACACCACTGTTCCCATCTCTCCTCTCCCGCTCACCTACCATAGTGCTCTCAAAGACCCCAATTGGAACAATGCTATGTGTGAGGAATTTAATGCATTGATCAAGAATGACATATGGGATTTAGTACCCCCTCCCCTCAACAAAATATCATAACCGGAAAATGGCTTTTTAGGCACAAACTTGGCCCTACAGGTGAGTTAACCAGGTACAAAGCTCAATGGGTTGTTCGGGGCTTCAACCATAGATTCGGAGTCGACTATGATGAGACATTTAGCCCTGTGATCAAGCCAGCTACCATACGTATCATTCTCAGCCTTGCTCTCTCTCGAGGATGGCCGATTCATCAGTTGGACGTCAAAAATGCCTTTCTTCATGGCCATCTGCAGGAGGTTGTCTACGCCTCTCAACCATCCGGATTCCAGGACCCCCACAGGCCCAATTATGTATGCAGGCTCAAGAAGGCTCTCTATGGCTTGAAACAGGCACCCTGCTCATGGTACCAACGATTTACTGGATTCATCTACACACTGGGGTTTCGAGGGTGTAAGTCTGACACCTCTCTCTTTATCTACTCTCATGGGACGGACACTCCCTACCTAGTTCTCTATGTTGATGACATTGTCCTCACAGCTTCCTCCGACTCTCTTCTTCGGCGCTTGACTGAGTGCCTTAAGGGGGAATTTGCTATGACTAACATGGGTGACCTTCATTTTTTCTTAGGTATCAATGTCCATCGGACAGCTCATGGTCTCTTTCTACATCAGACACAGTTCACTCACGACATCCTTGAGCGTGCCGGTATGATTACGTGTCGTCCCACCTCCACTCACGTCAATACGAAGGCTAAATTATCTGGCACATCGGGTTCCTTGGTAGCCGACCCTGCCCTCTATCGCTCCATCGTTGGAGCCCTCCAGTATCTCACATTTACTAGGCCAGACATCTCCGACTCTGTTCAGCAGATCTGTCTCCACCTTCACGCCCCTCGAGAAGTCCACGTCACAGCTATGAAGCGGGTACTACGCTATCTCCGCGGCACCTCCACCTATGGTATGACTCTTTCTCCGTCTAGCACAGATTCTCTTCAGGCCTACTCCGATGCTGATTGGGCTGGGTGCCCCGACACCAGACGATCCACATCAGGCTACTGTGTTTTCCTTGGGGACAACCTCATCTCTTGGTCCTCCAAGCGTCAAGCCACCATTTCCCGATCTAGTGCCGAAATCTCCTACTAGAGGTACAGCAACCCCTACGACGCACCACACTGATCTTCTATGATAACGTTAGCGCTGTTTATCTCTCCACCAATCCAGTTCAGCATCAGCGCACCAAACACATTGAGGTAGACATTCACTTTGTTCGTGACAAGGTGGCCCTTGGCCAGATTCGAGTCCTTCATGTGCCATCTTCGTCACAGTACGCAGATATATTCACAAAGGGCCTCCCGTCCATATTATTTCAGGATTTTCGGACAAGCCTCGGGATTCGCCCACCATCGACGCTGACGTAGCTGGGAGCATGTTAAATATATTCTATATTTATGTTAAATATATATTCTGTATTTATTATATGTATATTGTTTCCTATTGTAGAATCCTACCATGATTAGGATTAGAAATAGTTTGTGTATATAAACACATGTACTCCCACATTATTATTTAAGGAAATTCATAATTCTTCAGAATATAAAAATTTTCTTCAATTTTTTAAGATTATATTCTTTTGGATTCTAATACTTAAGATATGTTTGGTTAAAAGAAAATTATTTTTTTGAAAGATTACAACTCTACTTTTACATTTAGATTGCATAGGTGGAGGAAATCATTTTTTTGGAAAAATAATTTCTCTAGGAGGAGAAAATGAATTTTTTGTAGGTTTTGGATGAAAGTTCATTTTTTATCTAATCCTCATATACTTTAATTTCTCGGTCGAGTTCATCCCCCCGCCCACCCCCATCCTCTCCCCCTCCCCCGCCCCCGACCGCCTCTCCCTCCGCCCGCCCCTTAAAGAATAGAGCACTATAAAAAAGATTTGAAATTGATCGTGAATAAAAAATAAACTATGCCCCCCTCCTAAAATATTTAAAATTATCACAAAATATCTTTGTTTTTTAATCAAATATCAGCAATGTTTCAATAAAGTATGCGTGGGAGAATGATCTTTCATGAAACTTAGTTTCTCTTAGAATAATGGTCTAGACAAATATTTTGACACTTCTTGGGGAAAATTTGTTTGAAACTTTGTGACGAACATAACATAAACACCCAAAGACACGAAGATGACTCAAATCACACGATTTAGAAGATAAAATTTCAAGAGGTGACTTACCCCCGAGAAGTGGAGTTCGTTGGAGTGCGATTGATAAGACAAATGACAGTTTTAACACATTCATCCCAAAACTCAATAAGAAGAGACGCTTGGAACATTAGAGCTCATGGCACATTTAAGATATGGTGATGTTTACGTTCTATGTGACCATTTTATTGTGGGGTACCTAAACATGAAATTTGGACACAAACACCCATTGTATCATACTACCTCCGTTTCTCAAAAGAGTTCCTCTTTTGACTTTAGGGGAAAATAAGGAAGTGTTAAATTGTAGTTGACTTTCCAATTTTATCCTTGATGTGATGGGTAAAGTAAGATGTGATAGTTTAGTTGTTAGTGAAAAAGTATGATGTGATAGGTAGGGTATGAAAAAGTAGGTGTAATAATAAAAAAAGGGGAAGTGTTTTAAGAAAAACAAAAAAAAAATGAAAGAGGAAGGGTTATAAGAAACGGAGTAGTTGTTGACCCTTGTGTTTTGATAATGACAATGACAACTATCTCATGTGCTTGGCACTTTGGATGTTGATCTTCACAATCATGCGTAGGATCTCAAGACAAGTGTGAAGATATAGAGTATTTATTTTTCGTTTAGGTCTTAGCATTTGTTGTTAAAGTTGTTAGCCTTGGTTTGCTAAGCCTCATGTTTTGATGTTAACAAACAATATAAGAGCTTGACGTTTGTTTAAGTGTTTCAGGTACAACAAGAATCCATTAAGATTCGGTACTCAAGAATGAAGTCGAAACACCAAACTAGCGTAGAATATAGGTAGAAACCAATGTAAGAATATGATTTTATATGCCTATATTCACAAGCTCAAAAGCACTCACAAAATATGTTTAAAACCATCCCATAAACATTTTCAAATATCCAAAAGGTGTTAAACTCAAACACGAAGGATTACGGGAATATTGGAAAAATCAGGACAGTGGCACGGTAACCCCAGACGGTAGGGTATACCGCCTACACGGTACCCCCATACCGTGTAACGGTACCAAGGTACTGTACGGTAGGACGGAACGGATGGCCACACCCGTCCTAACCAGGTACCGCCAGTACCGAATGAAGATTTTGTGTTACACGGTACCGAGGTACCGCCACTCACGGTACCCCCTACCGTACGCACGGTACCATGCTACCGTGTGGACGGCACATGCCTACCAGAGCCGTTGCGGTTACTGTTCCTGATTTGCAATTTTGACTTTAATCAATCCTAATCACCTCCCAACGTCTAATTAACATCTTCCACTATAAATACAAGCCTAATCCTTCATATTTCTTCAAGAAACATAGCTCTAAACATCCTCTCTTTATATTCTAAGTGTGTTCATTCTTTTATTAATTATTTTCAATATTTTGGCTATTTCAAGAGCCTTAAATTCCTGATTTTTATACACACACTTTGAGCTTGTGTTTCTAGTTATATACTCTCATATTCATAAGTTTATATTGTATTTTTGAGAGAGTATAATTTCCTTCTACACCGGCTAAGTTTTGTTCTTCATTTTTATATTCTAGTCGTTGTGTAGAATCCTCTTTTGTGTTCTTCAAACACACCTTCTTACGGTCGAGAATAGCCGTTAAATTCTCACGTTGTAACGGTTAAGGATAGCCGTATAAATCCTTGGGTAAAGGTTCAAGGATAGCCTTTGAAATCCTTGGGGGAACGGTAGAAGATAGCCATTAAATCTTCATTGTAAACGGTTCGAGATAGCCGTGGTGAAATCTCGGAGTGAATCCTATTGGCAAGGGTTGTTTGCCAAACTAGTGCGGTGCTTTGACGGAGTTCAAGAAGCCAGAACTTAGTGGATTCGGAAATCCTTAAGAAGGAGCCTCGAGGTACTGGAGTAGGGAGTTCCCGAACCAGTATAAAATCGGTGTGCATTTTATTTACGCTTTTATTTCTGCATTTTATATATTGCTTCCGCATTTGCCAACACCGTTTTTATCAAACTCCGAAAAGATTTTCAAACGCCTTATTCACCCCCCTTCTAAGGCGTGGGCACAACGACTAAACCGACTAACAAAAGTGTATGGCACGTTAGTTGTTTTTTCTCTTTAAAAGTTGGTGGTCCCAAAGTGGTGAGATACAAAGTCTAGAGGGGGGGGTTGAATAGACTTTGTTACAAATTTAAAATCTTTTTCGTTTCTTTTGAAAACGTGAAAATAAGTGTTAATCTAGAGTTCTTGAGAACTTTAGATTGTGTGCGGAATTTGGTGGGTAGAGTGAGCAGTAATCAATATGGATGGGTTAGTTTTCACAGTTAATGTAATTGCAAGTAAGAGTAAAGATAAAAGAGAGAGACACGCAAACTTTAACGAGGTTCGAAGGTGGGGTAATCCTTCTACGTCCTCAAAATCCACTATGTATTTGGTTGTTGAATAATGAACCAACAATTACACTTGTGTGAATTTCTGCACGGTATATCTTCGCAAGACCAATGTTGCTACTGCACTCGTGCTGGCTTTGTTGTTCCTTCGAAGGTCACGCTTCTTCAACAACTGCAAGATCCGAACAATAGGACTTGCAAGATCAACTTGTAAGAAAGTTGACCTACCCCCTTTTTAATCAAGAAGTTTGATCAAAAAGTTGTATCCTTCAACGTGGTGTGGTACTTGAGGCAAGGAAACCTTCAAGTGTTTGCACTATAGCTCTTTGGAAGGAGGAGGAGTTTGCTTCTGGATAAGGAGTTTAGAAATCTCTCTTTATCAAGCTTTTTGGGCTAACTGTGAATGAGATA